TTGACAACCTCAATCTTCTCTCCATTTATTGTGATGCTGCTCATTGGTCCAGTTGTGAGGATTTTTGTTTTCTTTATGTTGAGATATAATCCATACTGCAGACTGTATTTTTCAGCCTTCATCAGTAGGTGCCTTAAGTCATCTGTGTGTGTATACATGTGTATATTATATATATATGGGGCCAACTTGACGGCACATAACAACAACAAATATATATATATATATGTAGGTATATACAAATGGCCACAACTATACCTATATATATACATGCATGTACTCTCACAAGACCTCCCACACCAATGTTACCCACAAATTTTTTATTGTTATCACTGTTGTTGCAGAATTACATGTTAGAGCAATATTGTAATGGTCCTTTACTTTTGTGTAACTCTCAGTATCATTTACTTTGGTCACATTGTGGTGACTTCACCATATTGTGTACTGTCTTTCTCTTCACCCGTATTAATATGTGTCTACTATCTAGTAAATTATTCTCCCTTCTTCCTCTCCCATTCCTGGCTGTGTGTAAACCTATTATTGATTTTTACAAAAGTGGTTTAATATATAAACTGCCCTTTTGTAGTCAAATTATTTCACTCAGCATAATGTCCTCCAGGTTCATGCATCTTACAATATGTTCACAAATTCATCATTATGCTTTATCACTGCATAGTATTCCACTGTGTGTATGTTATCACATGTTGCTTATCCATTCTTCCGCTGATGGACCCTTAAGGTTGTTTCCATCTTTTTGCTACTATGAATAATGCTGCAATGAAAAGGGGTATACAGATGTCTATTCATGTCACTGTTCTTACATATATATGGTATATAATTAGGAGCAGGACTGATGGTATTTCTATTTCTAGCTTTTTGATGAAGGGCTATAACATTTTCCAGAATGTACCATTTTACAATTCCAACAGCAATATATAAGCATTCCAAACTCTCACCCCCACAAGATTTTGTTGTTTCCTGTTTTCTTGATCAATGCCATTTGTGTAGGGATGAGACTATCTCATTATAGTTTTGAACTGTATATAGGTACTAATGCCTAGTACCACCACATGTCTATAAGTTTGTTGTACTGTGGTGGCTTGCATGTTGTTGAGATGCTAGAAGTTATTTCACTGGTATTTCAAAAATGAGCAGTGTCACCCATGATGGACAAGTTTCAGCAGAGTTTCCAGACTAAAGACAGAGCAGGTAGAAGTATCGTGTGATCTACTTCTGAAAAAATTGGCTAGTGAAAACTTTATGGATAGCAATGGAACACTGTGTGATATACTTCTAGAAGATAAGGACTTCAGGTTGGAAGGCACTCAAAATATGACTGGGAAAAGCTACCTCCTCAAAGTAGAGTTGAACCTTAATAACATGGAAGGAGTCATTTCTATATTCATTTACCGATGTGACACAACTAAAAATGAAAAGGAACAGCTGTAAACATACATTAGTAATAACAATGTGAAATGTATAAAATATGAACCTAGGAGAAGCAAAAGTTGAAAGAATGAACAGCCATGCCTTTAAAGATTGATTTCTAAGCATCAGTGAGCTGAAATGGATTTGTATTGGCCATTCTGAATTTGACAATTATATGGTCTATTACACTGGGAATAAAAACCTAAAGTGATAGTGTCACATAAATCATTGAAAAGGACATTTTCAAGGTCTATCCTCAAGTTCAATGCTGATAGGTTAATATCAATATGCCTACAAAGAAGACTGGTTAATACAACTATTACTGAAATTTATGAACCAACAACTAATGCCAAAGATGA